AAATAATCAATTTTTCTTTAAATTTGGGACAAAAGGAGCAACTGCTGTATTTTTACGTATGAATCGTGTCAAAGGCAGACGCTGGTCTCGGTTTCAGTAAATCTGACTAGGATAATTTGGCATACAATAAAATCCCAGCGATCTTAACAGGCTGTCGAGTGAAGGCTGTATTTGGATTGCTGCCAGGAACATTAACACACTTAATACGACCTCAACTAGAGCAAAGAATAATAGAAAGCCTAAGGTTATTCCTTGGGCTATCTGCTATGATAACCAGTGATAAAAATATACAGAAATACAAACATACAAGATGCTCACGCCTTATTCTCTTTCGAGGTAGGTAGAGATGATAAAACGCTATCATAACATGACATATCAAATCATACACATTCACACACATTTCACACTCGTCAGACCTAGCCAATTACGGGTCTGCCCGCATCGATTCAGCCAATCACACGAGTCTTATTTCCTTTACTCATTCCCTCTTCGTTGATCATTTCAACATGCCCAAACATTCCTCTTTTTATCAGTCTTACATTACACATACTTCTCAGTGAATGCATTACCACGACCGACACTAATTTTACGTTCATGTGTCTTCCGCCACATCCAACTCTCGTTGCCATGCATTGTACTTTTAGTCAGTGTGTCTTGTAAAGGAATCAGTTTCGGGTACAATCTGGCAGTTCTGATAAAAAAATATATCACATTCAACTAAAACATACAACACACAAACCATTCGTATATTACATATTCAACTTCATTGAATGCCGACTTGTAATGCAGGCGAAGAAGTTTTTATTACCTGTTTAAATGGAAAATTTTAAATTGGTTTTTGTGTACGCTTCAAAACAAAAAAAAAAGTTCTGTACCGATTGAGCTCAAATTTTGATACCATTTACAACACGCAAGGTGGTTTTTAATATATTTTTTTGCAACCACAATGTGCTACAGTAAAGCGTGGCAGAGTGTACCTACTTTTAAAGAAAAGTAAAGATCGACGCAAGATATCTATTGCTTTCATACGCTTTTGTTAGTTATTATTAGTCGGTACTCATGTTACATACTAATTGAAAAGCGCACATTTGCGTCTCTCAAAAAAAACCCCGTTTTCGAACCAGTTGTTCCCGAGATTAGCGCATTCAACTAAACAAACTCTTCAACTTTATAATATTACTATAGATTACCTACCACGCCATCGTGGGCCACTTCATCCGTAGCTCGTTTTGTACTTTTACTCTTATAGTGCCTATCTATATGTATAAGCTCTTACTAACATTTCCATTTTAATCAGTTGGCCGTATAGTGACTAATCATCACTATCACTTTCTTTGGCATTTGTATTACTCCGTAAATTATATCGTACCGCTGCACGAACTTCATAGTTAATCTACGTGTTCATAATATACACATAAATTAATACAAAGCTAAAACCAGTAAGGGTTTTTCACAAAAAACAAACAGGACAATGTGTAAACCCGACGACAGTTTACGATTTTTGGAGTTTGTATAATGTCTGTATAATACAGATAATACCGAAGGTAGTGTTATACGACAATTTTGTTTCACAGATTTCCATTCAGAAAATTCATTCACTCAACAACCCATGAGAGCAGTGCTAAAAATAAACGCGACGCAAGACATGAATAAATAAGCTGCTTGCAAGTGCATTATAGAGACGGCTCGAAGATCTAATCTACAAAGCCTTCTACCAGACTCAAGAAACCGTATATATAATATTATTTCTTATTTTATCATAATGCTATCAAATCTGTTAAAAGCTACGTAAATGAATATAAATTAAATTATAGTGTAAACATACGATTTACTCTCAAATCGAATTAAAAGTATAAAATATTTTTAGTTATACAAGTTCATTTTAGTTTTACAAATTTAGTTCTTAGTTCCTATTAAAGCGTGTTGTTTTTATTTTTTAGTCTTGTACTTGTTTGTCCTTGATACGTATACTAACTTTTAAGTCAATCAGCTATCTTTAATTTTGTGAAAATCACGTTGATGTATTTCGTTACATAGATACAGACAATGTCTTCGTAACAATCACTATCATAAAATACTTTTCACACTGAGAAAGCCGTTTTACGGATCCAAATTCGGAAATATAAATCAACTCATAGGTGTGTGTGTGTGTGTGTGTTCACACATTCAACCACAATAATATTAGTAGTTCAGTGTGTAACTAGTAAATTCGGAACGTAAATTAGGTAATTCAGTAATTAGTATGTAGCTGTTGTTAGTTGTATGTACGATCTGGAATCTGAATGCCATGATTGATGATGTAAATCTGACGCCTGTTTGTATGACTAAGTTTGTGAAGGTCGCCTGCCGGATGCCGCCATCGCCAGCTGATAACGACGCCAGTCAACTTAGTTAACTGTTTAACGTCATTCAGCATGAATTTAAATAGTCATTTTGTTTAAAAACTTATGTTTTATTATGACATATGCGATAAGCTGGCAAAATAAATAATCTAATCTCTTAATACACGCAATGCTATGTGGGCGTCACGTCATGTAACCCAAATAGGTAAAACTTCGACCCTTCACAATTTTCCTGTTGGAAATTCCTTATTATGTTTAACTTTCGATTTAAGGGCCGTACAATCATAATGCTATTTTTGTATCAATGCTTGCGAATAAATGGTTCTATCGTGTCGTAAATGAAAATTTCAACACTAAATGTCACTATACACAAAGACTGATAAAGAATAAAGAAAGTGATACGTACAGTTTAAACATGTATAAGATTTTATTAACAATGTAATTTTTCGTTGCAATATTTTGCAATAATGAAGTATTTATAGGCAACATTGTTAGGATAATACACTATTGTTAGTTATTTACTAAGTGCTTACATTATGGTATATTATGTAGTACATATTGTAGTTAGTTCATTGTTTCATATATTACTAAGAGAACAAACATTTAATACAATTACCTTATACTACCTACACAAGACACGTTTTTCGATAGACAGACAATCTTGCCAGCAATAGTTAGATTGGTGAGAAGTCCACATCATATTTCAAATGACTCATAATTTGCTATTAGCAGCTAATTGTAATACTTGACTAAACTTTACTTTCAGCTTTAAACTGCAGCATGCATCAAACATAAAAGTTTGGCAAGTTTAGAATTAATTAACACCTCTGAATTATAATTCAATTATTAGAATGAATAATAATAAAAAAACAGCAAAATAATTATTTTAGGCAGTTTTCGACTATTTAGTTTTATATTATTATTCTTTTTATAAAGTATTTTTTTGATCATGAGAAGCTGTTCTCTTAATTTATACAAAGAAATTATAATAATAAAACCAATGGTATGACTATCTAAAACACCGTAAAGGGTGTGTGGGCTTGAATGGAATATAGGAAAACTATAGGAAAAATATTGTTTCTGACCTGGTGTTTTTTTCAAAGTTTTGATGATGATTTAAATCAAATATATTTGCACACAACATGAAAAATTTACTTAATAATAAATACATAACAACACAAATAAACAATGTATATTTTTTACTTACTTAGTAGGATTAGTTCACTCTATGTTAAGACATACATATTAGGTAAACCTATTCAGTAATATGCTTTAGTTAATAATCCTATATTCGTCCTATATTAGTTTTAAATTATTAAAAAAAAAGGAACAAAATCTACTTCTTGCCATCGACGTCTAGTTTGTGTAAACATTTTTGCTGTCTCAATAAAAAAACTATTAAATAGGATTATTTTTTTACTTGAGACAATTGACAGTTTAAGATATAAAATTTAAAGATTTCCTATAAATTGGATTGCAAAGACACGGCACACATCAAGTGTTAAGAGACACAACAGATAAAATATAGTAAGATAAATTCAAACAGATAAAGTTATATAGATCTGTTGAGATAGAGTTGGCAGAGAGTGTATATGCTTCATTGAATGCATTAATTTAAAAAAAAATGACCTGAATATGCTGTGGGATATCCATCTTAGTGTGAGAAAATAGTGCTTAAGAAAAATTAAGTGTTAAAGCATGATAATTAACACAAAAGTCACTTTTAACATTACTACTTTCTGTTTAAATTAACCTGTGTTGTAAATGTGAAGTGTTTAAGCCATGACAATAATATGATATTAGGTAGGTAGTAAACAATAAGAACTACATTTAACTTGAAAATATTGATTCAGACATTAATTTCAATTTTAGTTTGGTAGTAATTATAATAGTTATGTACAATGAATCACATTCCATTTTCAGATTTAAATTTAGTAGAGTTAATATTAAATTATAATTAATATGAAATACTCAACCACACAACAAAGAAGAAATCACATAAACTAAGTTTAAAGTTTTTTTTACTTTGAACAATGAAACTAAAAAACATTCTTGGTAAAAAAACAAGACATTTTCTTTGCCTATCATGATTTATTCCTTTCTACATCTATTTTATAATATTTAAATATGAACAAAAGGGGGTAGGCACTATATTTCAAGTCTATAAAGGATCTTCACTATTTGTACAAGAATTGGCAAATATAAGCTAGGCTATAACATAAGAGACTTAGCTCATTAAAACAGTATTTTTTACTAAATTTGTAAAAGTAACTTGTCTGAGATTGAGTGGGAGGCTATAAGCCTTTCCTGTGAGGTTATCCAACTGTGGTTGTCTGCAAAACTATCATTGAAAAGCAATACTAATGCAGATAATATAGGCAAGTTTTAGCAAATTGCGGAGCGCAACAAATTGTCTCGCTTCAATGACAGCTATCATTCAGCGGTGTCAAGTCCGGGGTGGGGCGACAAGAATAAAGAATCCTATTAGAAGTAACTTTCTTGAAAGTGATTTCTTTATTTTTTAGGAACCAAGAACAAGGTCTTTCTCACACTAGACTGATATGACACATGTTTCCAATGCTATATTTTATGAATTCGAGGTCATCTCAGGAAACCTTTGGTTATGGAAACGCTGAGAAATTGTAAAAACTAACTCACCGCTTGGAGCGCCGCTAACCTGTCCTTCGTCATCCTTTATAAAGAATCACACACCAAATAAACGTTTTATCTCGTTACACAATCCCATTCACAGATATTTTTCTAACAAACGTCACTAAACTAAAGGACACGAACACTACGTTCACTTCACTCAAAAAATCGATACACATGAAGCGAACAAAACTTCACTACCTGTCTCATGTACTTTGAGAAATTTTGCAAAGTTGTAGATGGCGCAACTGTACTATTGAGTTTGTGACGTCAACAAATTTATCGGTAAAGCAGTTATTGGCGCTAATAGTCAAATTATCTTCTTTAACTGTTTTACTAATTAAAACTGCTGTATTAAAACAGAAATACATAAATTAATGTACTATAAAAACATTTAAATATTTTTTAGGTACAAGTATCTATTCAAAATTAAGCTAAAAAGTATTTATCGCAAAACTGAAAAGTGAAAAGATTGCAACTTGGATTACGAAGTCATTGCGCCTGTCGTTGTCAAGGAAATCTTCCGTTTAGTCAAGTGACGCCATTGTGAGCCGTAACGACTCTTAGCTGCAACGAGTTTAATCTCGAATTACTTAAACAATCTCGGTAAATAGTGCTTACATTTTATATCATTGAATTCTATGCTTCACGTACTTACCATCTTAAACAGTATTTATGCTCTAGCTTGTGTAGTTTTAGTGCAAATAGTGTCAATGTTCGGTACTACAGAGCTAAATTCCTGTGAGGGCAGTTGAGCGCCATTCGGTGAAAAGTTACGAGTATATTTAAGTTGTCAGTTTAGTACGGTTACTGAATTTGTTTTATTCCTCTTCTTATAACTTTTATAAATTAAATTTTGCTTGCTATATTGAGACACAATAAATTCATAATCGCAATTGTTTTTGCCAAAGATCTGTAAGTCAGATTCTTTGTCTGTTTCGGTTATTTAACTTGGTACTCTTCATTTTTTCAGGATTAAAAGTACAAAACTAACACAATGGCAGATGATATGCCCACATTTAAGTGTGTGCTAGTGGGAGACGGAGGTACTGGCAAAACTACATTCGTCAAAAGACATTTGACTGGAGAGTTCGAGAAAAAATACGTCGCTACGCTCGGTGTCGAAGTGCATCCTTTGGTATTCCACACAAACCGTGGTCCCATCAGATTTAACGTTTGGGACACTGCTGGACAGGAAAAGTTTGGTGGTTTAAGAGATGGATACTATATCCAAGGTCAATGTGCCATCATCATGTTCGATGTAACCTCTCGTGTCACCTACAAAAACGTACCGCATTGGCATAGAGATTTAGTGCGAGTTTGTGAAGGAATCCCAATTGTATTGTGTGGCAACAAAGTTGACATCAAAGACAGGAAAGTCAAGGCGAAAACAATCGTGTTCCACAGGAAAAAGAACTTACAGGTGAGACCCCATTTCCTTTCGTAACGTTAATATTAACCAAGTCAGTTTTGATGTTGATGTGACAAAAAGTAGCCGTCATGATACCAAAGCTCAAATAGCAATACAACATTTCTTATCTATACTAATATAAAAAATGCGAAAGTAACTGTCTGTTAAACCCCTAAACCGATTTTAATAACATTAAGTATGGAAATACTCGAGCGAAGCCGTGGACAAATGCTGGTCTGCAATAAAAGTATAGTTGCCATACAAATTATATTAGCAGTAATAACCTTTGTTAAGATTGTCTATAATTTTCTTCTAACTTTTTAAATTATTTATTTCAGTATTATGACATCTCTGCTAAGTCAAACTATAACTTTGAAAAGCCATTCTTGTGGTTAGCTAGAAAGTTGATTGGTGATGGAAACTTAGAGTTTGTTGCTATGCCTGCTCTCCTGCCTCCGGAAGTTACGATGGACCCACAATGGCAGAACCAGATCGAAAAGGATCTCAAAGAGGCCCAGGACACAGCACTGCCTGAGGAGGATGAAGATTTGTGAATATAGCCATGGCTAATTGTAAAATTTCAGTGCTGCTACATTGATTGTGCAAATAATGTACTCAATGTGTCAAAATAAATTTTCATTCCATTATGTTCTGAGCGTTCAAGGAGTTGGTTTAAATTAAACATTTACTTTAAAAATTGTAATTTCTGTTATTGCTTTAATTAATTTGTATGTTAAAACCTTTATTATTGTATTTGTTTACACACTTTGGCATTGTATTTTGATATAACTGAAGTAATTAGAATTCATTTACTATACAGAACTTAAAATGTATGTATTAGTATAATATTTAGTATCAAGGTATAATCTATCCAAAGACCCCAGGTTCATTATTTATTGTAAGTGTATGAGGTTTGCCATCAGTAATCCTGCATAACATTATCTCATGTTGTAAGATGTAAATTATCAGAACAGTAGTACATTTGCATTTCATGCTGTCAGTTGCATTAATGTCTGGTGTTTTATTAATTTTGTTTTTCTACACCTGACTGACAATATAATTTCACTGTAAAATTGTGGTGATAATTTTTTAAATAAAGTTTATAAGAAGGTCTAGTGTTATTAATCCTGTAGTCCTCGTGTGCCCCTTGGTTTACAAACCTGTGCAGTTTTTTATTTTCTAAACCGTGGTTTCGGAACATCATAAATCAGATCCCGAATCATTAGAGTAGATTAGGTAGAAATTGGGTAGGTAACCTTGTAACCGAAATTTAGGGAGACAGGCTAATAATTTGGTGCTCCCACTGTTATAAGTTACTAGCTGTTTATTTTATCTACACAAATAAATAATATTGAATTGTCTGTATGTTAAGAAATAGGTTTTTTTCATGCTCACACGGTTATGCCCGATAAAAAAAAGTATTTTTGTCTGTTCGGATAATCTTCAAAACGACTGGACCGATTTTGATATAATTACCACCAGGTAGCTGTCTATATAAGGAGTAACTTGGCTATTTTTTCTGGAAAAACCCCATACAATTTTGCCCAGTCCGGGAATCGAACCCACTAAGGCAGCGTTTTTTTAAATCCACGCCAACGAAGTCACAGGCACGAGCTAGTTAAAAATAAAACAAGTTAATATTTATGTTGGGTAAATACATACGTATCACTTTTTTTGCATAAAATCGAATGAAATGTAGATGAATGTTCGGCAGTGGCGGATTCACATATTTGCCGCCGCCACTAACCTCTGAAACACGTAAAAGGGGTATTGAATGGGTTGTCACCCTACCGGGGTTTAAACATACGGTGTGCCTGAAATAGGAAGGATTTGGGAACAGCTGTTATTAAGACATCCGTACCCTCAATTCATGACCATAGTTCAGGGTTGTCCAGACCGAAAGAAAATGCTGGAGGTTCTCGACCGTGGGTCAGCCCTTATTGCTGTTATCGCGCGTCGGCCCTGAAAGCCTTCAGAGACTCCAGCCCAGGTTCCTACAGGAAGTGGTTGAGGGTCTTTTCCCACAATGCGTGGAAGGCCTTCTTGACCGGAAACGGGGGAGAACATGGATGATTCTCCATTCGTCACGGATGCCGAGATAGGGGCGGCTTTTTTACGGGTCCGTTCCAAGAATATCGGCTCCGGACCAGACTGGATAATGCCCGTATGTTGAACCTAGCCCTCGAACCCATGTCAGACCCCCTTAGGGAGGTGACCTAACATTTCCCTGAGCTGAAAGAGCGGGAAGCTGGTCCTGATAACGACGCCGGGACAGCCTGCCAGATGCCCAATTCGGTTTTCAAGTGGAGCGTTCGACGATCGGTGCCGTTGTGCCTTAAAATCATGACGGTGAGCCGTGGCAGCGTGCTGATGGCGGTGTCGTTGAACACCGAGAGACACTATTTAGAAAATCGTACCGTCATGTACGAGGGCCAAGATGGATATGTGAGGGTGTAATTTGTGAGGACGATGACACTTTGGTTACAGCTCGAAGGGCGCACTTTCAAGAGGCGGCGCGCCTGGCCACCAGAAGTATCTCTCTGGTAGTCGGGCGCATTGAGGCACTGGATTTACGGGTGGTCCTGTATAAGCCGGAGGCCCTCGCCATGGCCGGTAGCGACAGATGTCTCACCGCGGTCGCATACTTCTGCAATCTTCGCAGAAGTATGCGACCGCGGTGAGGTTATGGCGCAGGAGGTGGCGGAGAGGGCCCTGGACGAAGATTTCGACGATCCAGGCGCGCATTTCAGGGCCTCATGCCGCCCTGAGTGAAGACTTATAAAATAATATCGAAGCTACTAATTTAAATTGTAATATTGTGAAACCGAAAAAGTGCAAGAATTACTTCGGGTCAGCTTTGTTGTTCGACAAATCTAATAATGCCAGCTGTCTTATGTGTGTAGCAACCCTTACAGGGTTTACCAGTGACCACTAAGTAGACGTTTTTTACCCATGGGGTGCTTGGGGGCAACAGAACATTATTGGGTTGTTGGTTATGCGTTCTAGAAACTTTATTCGAATATTCTGAACATAGATTAACCAGTAACTTTACAAAAAAAAAACGGTAGATTAGTAACCGTTGGTTAGGCTAAAGGGCGGATGTAAGAGTGTGTTCACTCGCATATATGTATATATTTAATTCAAAGCTATAGCGAATGATCTACTGTACCCTGTGATCCACTATTACCCACTCTCCCCTACCTAGGTACCTAATCCGCTACATACAAGAAGTAACATGATTCATAAATGAATAACTACTTCACAAATACGGTACTGCGTCATCATTAAAAATACTACAAACATGACACGTGACTAAATAGTCTGCTAACACTATTACTCATGATTAGAGTACAAAACTTCGGTTACGCTCTTTTAAGTGTCAAAATTTTGTCAAATAGTGGCTCAAGAATATTTAAAGACTTGTATTCACTTGTAGATTCAGAAGTCACATAATCTTAATTTTTTTTTTAAGGGCAAAGGAGAAGATGGGTCACCTCATATCGAGGTAGAAGAGACATTAGTGCATTGCCGCCCTTTGGGTGCAACCCTCGCCCCAGAATAGGAATGAAGTCTAGGAGGGGTCCGGATGTCTTAATAATAGCAGTTCCCGGATCTATCCTATTACAGGAGCAGAGTGGCACACTGTGTGGTTTTAGTCGGTCGGTTTTCACCATCAACTTCAGTCACTCGTATCACTCCGGTCGAGCTAGTCCATATGTGCCGAAGCATGACTCTCCCACGATAAAATAAAATGAATATTGAGAAGGTAACTATATTCTCTGTTCTAAACAATGTCTGAGATCATTCGAGAATTTGAGGCTGGAGATGCCTATGCATGCCACAAAATTTTATAACCATTCTTTTACTGTTGAACTACTGTTGTTCTTGTACGTTTGTGGAATGCATTGCCGATACACATCAGGCAAGCGCAAACGATAAACAGCTTTAAGAAAATGCTTCAAGAATTTTATGTACTTATCATGATTAAGTCAGTTACGCGTCAAGGCATGATTTCTTTTTTTTATGTGATATACTTAATTAGTTATGTATATATAAATAAATGAATATGTACGTATATTGTATGTGTTTTATCTGTAAATATTTATTTAAATTTACTTCTTATGTTCATTAATAATTAACCTGCCGAAACTCATTGCACCTTCAACTACTACTGTCTCTCCAAAACATTTTAATCCATCCAAAGGTTGGCTGGAAGAGATTGCTCTTAGCAATAAAGATATTCATTTTACTCGTATTCTATTTATTATTTACCCGACTGCGACAGGAGTGTTATGTTTCAAGTACATGTATGTTTACTACATACATACGTATATTTTTTTGGCACGTACTGTAGCAGCCTAGACTGCTTGATGGATTTTGAAGGTGTCGTTAGTTTGAATCTTTAGGGGTCGATAATTATAAAAATTACAATCGACCAATACAATCCGGTGATTGGTCAGTCAGTCATTCTAGTCTAATTCTAATGTATATCGTCTATTTAATGTCTGTTAGGTACCTAACTATTGGTGGGTGGTTCTTTATACAAACAATATTGCTAGCAAGAGAAAGGGATCTGCCCGCAAAAGCTAAACATCTGTCATGGCAATTCGATTCTCACATTGCATTATAACTTATATCTTGGTTACCTACTTGATTAACTTATATAAAACAAAAATGTGTAATTAATTACAAACAAGATGGGTCTGGGGTCTAGTGCTAGTGATTAGCCAGGAAATTGTATGATGATTGCGCATCATTTATTCTGTGTCGATGTGTAATTAAAAAAAACTTATGTATTTAGAAATATATAAGTATGTTTATCAGCAGTCTGGTTACCATAGTGGTAGGCTTTGTCTAGTGTGGGATGGGATGGCCGAGATGTGTGGGGTTATTATTTTTACAAAGATTGAGAAAATATGTTGATATAAATTATAACAGGTATGTTGGTATTAAGAAAAACAATTCAAATTAATTTATTTAATTAAACTTTCCATGGTTAAATGCATAATACAATAACTGGAACTACATCCCTAATCTTAGTTTTATATAATATCTAATAAGTTTTACTTCTTGGCAGCAGCCTTCTCCCTTGCCTTTTTGCCTTCCAAGAGCTTCAATCTCTCTTCTTCAGATAAGTTATTATTAATTTTGGTAATAACTCCAGTGCCAAGGGTCAAGTCTCCCAAACGTAATGTAAATCTTTGACCAGCTTCGCAAACCATTGGCTTCAGAAGACGTAATCGCAACCTGAAAATAAATAAAAATAGAAGCTGAATTAATACATTAACTAAACCACCAAGTATTAAAAAAAATGTTTACTTATTTTGATATACTTGGAATGTCTGCATGAATATGCAATATTAACACATTGGTCATTTTCAAAGATTTCATAGATGTTCTGTAATACTTCTGTATTACCGTAATACCTATGTGGCGAAGCTTTTAAAAGCTCATTACTCAACAAGTCAACTTTTATTGGACAATATCCAGGCATCATGGGCCACCCATAATGCCCACAACTTTAATTAAATTAAAAATTAAAAAAAACCTCGACATACATCTTGAATTTGAAATTTGTCATAGTGTATAGTATTCTACTAGTCAAGCCCTTTCGTTTCATACCCATATTGAGGTAATTGTGAAAAAAGTATGTAATACGCCATTTTGTGGCAGTGTCCATCTTTGACCGATTTTCATCAAACATAGCTAAGAACACCAACCATAGGTAATTCACCTTCCAAACAAAAAAAAAACAAAAACACAATCAAAATCGGTTCATCAGTTCGGAAGCTACGATGCCAAAGACATACACACACACACAGACACGTCAAACCTATAACATCCCATTGTTTTTGCGTCTGGGGTTAATTAAACAGATATCAACACGATTCTATTTTTTCTCCTTGTTACAGCAATGGTAATTAAAAGAAACTTACGTAGTATCTTCACCAGGCATCACCATCTCTTTGTCTGGAATTTGAACTTGGGTAGCGCAGTCCCAAGTCATGGAGAACATTTGTAATTGAATAAATGATGTAAAAGGTTTCTGGCGACCACCTTCCTCTTTGCTTAAAATATAGACTGCTGCTTCAATGCTATCATGAGCTTTGACTGTGCCAGGTTTGGCCATAACCATTCCACGTTTGATTTGTTCACGCTTAACAGCACGAACCAGTGCACCAAGTTGGTCGCCAGCCTGAGCCTCATCAAGAGTTTTGTGGAACATCTCAACTCCTGTCACAGTGGTTTTCATAACTTTGCCATGACCAATAATTTCACATTCAGTGCCTTTCTTTAGAACACCTTAAAGCAATGATTAATTTTTTAGATAACAAACTTAACTTAAGTTGTCTGAATGATGATAAAATATTTTACATACATTAATATACATACCTCTGTGCAATCGTCCTGTAACAACGGTACCTCGTCCAGGAATAGAGTGAACAGATTCAACAGGCAAGAGGAATGGCTTGTCTAATTCGCGAACAGGAGTGGGAATGAATGAGTCGACTTCCTTCAACAATTCGGTGATTGCATCGGCACCAATTTCCTTGCTTTTTCCTTCTAATGCGCATAGAGCAGAACCTGTAAAATGATAAAAACAGAACGTAAAAAATCTAAGCCTTATCAGAGCCGACTAGAGTTCTTTAGCAAATGAAGGAATGTACATACCCTTAACAACAGGAATTTTGTCACCGTCATAGCCCATTTCTGTCATTAGTTCTCTGATTTCCATTTCAACAAGCTCCACCATCTCCTGGTCAGCAGCATCTACTTTGTTAATAAAAACTACAACATGTTGAATGCCAATCTGTTTGGCAAGAATTAAATGTTCTCTAGTTTGTGGCATCACACCGTCAGTGGCAGCCACTACCAGGATAGCACCATCCATTTGGGCCGTACCAGTGATCATGTTCTGTAAAAATATTGAAAATGGTTTTTAGATATATATTTTTTAAATACAATTCCCACACTAGGAATATATTATCCTTTGTTTGTGGACTTTGTTGTGTGTGTGTGGGGACAAATATACATGAAATAGACACAAAGAACAGCAATTTGTGGATCACACAAAGTGTTGTCCCATGTAAACCCAAAATATTTGTACAGACATTTTCTATTAACATCAGAGACGGATTAAGCATCAAAAGTGCCTACGGCAAGCATCTCATCGGCGCCTCCCGCATCTCTCTGACGCCCATAGCTACGTCGTATTTAAATGTGTGATAGAGACTACTCCAAATTTTTGGTGCATTTTTTTATTATTATTATAAAGACAGGTGGTCAGTTGAAACAACTGATAATAGCTTTTACCCTGAGAGATTATACTAAAAAAAAAATATTGCCTTTTTTTACGTGTAAGCCAGTGTATCCGAATCGAACCGACTAAAACAACACGGTGTGTAAACTGTTTCTGATATAAGAGTGATAAGCGGATCACTCTTATATCAGGAACAGCGTTTATTAAGACGTCGGCACAGTGGTGACAGAAAAGGCCTCACCTGTCACCCCCAGGCCTGCACCTATGGAGGTCGCAGGTTATTCAGCGACTTCCGTCGCCTGAGCCGCCTGCAGTACCTGGCCCGTTCCCGGGCTTGGCGAAACGAACGAATTCTAAGCCTCTTTAGGTCTCGCTCCGCCCTCTCCTTCTCGAGCATAACTTGATTGCAGAAGGAGGTGGCGGAGTTCCACACGCTCTCGCTCCGTATCATGGCCGCAATCATAAGGTAGAGAATCCTTACTCCGATGGCCGTCACGTAGCTACGCATCTGCTCCACCCTCGTCCGGCATTTTACGGCTGTCCAGCGTTCACGCTTTGATCACCGCAGTGGTAGCACCCAGGTGTTGGATCATTGCGGATCAGACACAAGTGATCTCATGCGTCGGGTGGTGTCCTGTGTTTCCTCTCGACATAGTCCGTGACCGGTTCTACTTAGATGACGACTCCGGACCTCTCCTAGTGCCTAACCTTCAATAGCGCGGGCATCACCTTCGACGAAAACTCATTTAGAAGATGTCCGCCACGCGATGTCATCACCTCCTCGCGGTAGGCCTTCGTGGTTAATGAAGGGGAAAACCCGTCCATCTTAGACCTCACTCGCAGGCGCGCCAGCCATGTAACGTGTAACGGCTGGTAGCTAGAAATCTTCTCCGATGACTGCACTGAGCGCCCAACGCTACGTTGACCAGTGTGTGAGCCGAGTTCTCACCAGTCGCAGTAGTGACAGGCGCGACTCAATTCACTCCTAGCATCGACTGCTGGTACTTTCCTAAGCTGACGTGCCTAGAAAAAACTGCGTCAGTCGGAAGGAAAGGGTTCCGTGCTGACACCCTGCCCACTCGAAGATGACCAGCTGAAGCGCCTCCACGGCGTCAAAGCCATTAAGTACGTGGAGCCTCAAGCCGGGACGACCAAGCAAGTCATCGGGGCTCGGCGAGCGGCCTTTCGCCACTCATTTCCACCTCTAAATTGCATGGGAGATTTCCGTCACCACTCTCTGATGATGCTAGAGGCGCGCCTTATTCTGTGCACACTGGTGCGTCGTATACTGTAATTGACTGGACAACCCTGGTCTATTACTACAACTTATAATCTCAACGCAGCTGTAGCAAGTGCAATTATTTTTGGGTACACGCACTAGCCTCAATCTTCATAGGTATCAGAAAAAGAAATCAAAGAAGTAGTGTCAATGATGTAATATAAACCCTAGATAACAACCTTAAACATATCTATAGATGTAAGGAATTGTTTATATTGTTCAAGTTGTGCATACTCACTGGCACAGTTCTGCATTTGTTAGGTATATATTTTTCCTTTGCTAAAAAATTATGAGTGTGCCCTAGGCACATGCCTACTTTTATTCTATTATTTTTGGAATACCAACAGCATAAAATACACTCTCTAGAAACGAAACCTAATAACATTGTTGCTATTCACAGGCATTCACGAATAGGATTGATAGGCAATCCGCCACTGATTAATGTAGTATGTAGAATTTGGATGATAAATATTTTTGTCAGGAAATAATTTATGGAGCTAACTGAAGTAATTAAATTTGTTAAAGATCTGTATGATATCATCATTTATAGTACCTTGATATAATCCGCATGCCCTGGGCAATCTGTATGTCCATAATGTCTGGCATCTGTTTGATATTCCACATGAGCCACATTAATAGTAATACCACGGGCTTTTTCTTCTGGTGCATTGTCAATATCTGCATAACCTTTTGACTGAGCTAAGTTAAGGTCCGATAGTACTGGAATGGAAGACATGCTTCTTAGTTAATTTACTAATGCCTAAGTTTTATGTTCAGTCGAATACTCTTTATTACCCTGAATGTCCATATGAATGCATATTGAAAGTGATAGCTTTATAATACAAATTGTAATTTCATTAAATGAAACAAATGAGAAAATAGTAAAAACAGGATAATTCCATAAGTTATATATTGTTTTGTAATTAGTTTCTCAAATTCATTCATTCTGATAACCCTCTATAGATTTGAGACGAAGATAGAAGAAAATATACAGGATTTTGTTTCTGTCTATTCATTACTTTAGGAGTGAAAGAAAGAAAGTTTTAAATTAAAAACAAGGGTTCCAACGTTTAGCCAGTTTTAACATAACCAGCAGTGTGACCTTTGAAAAACATAAAAATAAAACTTTCCATTACTCATCATTTTTATTAAGTAAAAGAAAGTAAGAACGAAGCTTCAAATATTGCAAATATACATACTGATGATTTCATTACAACTCATAAAACACTATAATACTTGACAAACTGTTTACCAGATATTAATTAGTTTTTTGTATTAATGAGAATTAACTTACCTTTAGTAATTGCTGCTGTGAGTGTTGTTTTGCCATGGTCAACATGTCCAATAGTACCAACATTGCAGTGAGGTTTTGTTCGCTCAAATACTTGTTTTTCTGCATAATTTCTTCTGAGGATAATGCTCAATGGCGTCAATCCAGGCAAAGTAGTAGTTCTTATGTGTGAACAATGACTTTGTTTCAACAGTAATTTGACGGCTTAAAAGAAACCAGAGAATTAAATTGATAATCAGACAATAATCAATAAGTTAACCTCAAAATAACTAACCCAATAGAATATTAATAAAATAGTTAGATGATCCTAATTGCGAGAAAGTTATTGAAATATTCGTAATCATATAATTTTTAAATTTAACAACATGCAAAACCAAAAGTAATATATTTGAATATAGCAAGCTAGCTCAATATGAGTTTTACATAATAGGCACTCTGTTATCGGCATAGCGGTACAGCACCCTAGAATGAAGTATAATTACATATAACTTTTAATTAAGCATTTGTATAGAAAAACAGTACGTAATTATAATAAATTGTAAATATTATGTATATTTGAAAATTAAACTAATGTAAAATTGCTTTTTATCCTTCGTACCTGGGTTAACCAAACTTTTAGCAAAAGATATTGTAGCCATTATTAAAAGGTTTCCACAGCAAATGCTGTAGATATACCTAAAAATTAATTCAGTGGGGTCGATAAATTATTAGTATAAAATTTTCAAAATTTGTTCACATGCGTGCCGACTCGTCCTACTTTTTGACAGACATTAATACCCACAGAACATATATACCCCTAAAGGGGAAGAATAACGACTCCATACTATTTTTATGAGGAAATTTTTCCTTACCGGCCGGCGCCATCTATGCTCCGCCCACCAAAACTAGACAGTAGAAGCTAGGGCGGGAATTTCAAAACAGATACTTTGTATTGCATTTTATGCACAAGTACAGTGCGTTTCTCGATAGTGTTCATCAAGATGGTCAATTATTTCTCAGCAAAAACAATTGACATCTAAACGACATCACTATCGAGAAACACACTGTACTTGTGCATAAAATGCTGAAAGCAATATTTATGGAACAGTGTAATAAAAGAAACATTAGTATTTGACTTTTTTATTTAGCATAATATTCATTATAATTTATCAGATATTCATATTATAAGCAACTATATACTAATTTTACATGAATAAATGAGTTTATGGATTATATATTCATTTGGGACAAAAGGTGTTCACAAGTATGTGTATGTAATTTTTTTGCGTGTGTTGTGGCCACCCTCTAGTGTCAGAGCTTATTAAGTCGCCTCTGGGAATCCCACAGGCCTCTGACATGGCGTGTATGTAATGATAATTAATCACAAAATTTGTCGCTTAATCTAAACACAAATTAAACATAATATTCTAAAAATGAGATAATACATACAATTTGAAAATACAGCAAGCATCTTCGACCATATGGTCTATTGCATACAATTTTAACATCAAAAACCTAGACAAGGTCAAACACAAGTTTACACTTTACAGACATATATCATAATATTATATAATATGTATTATTTCAGTTTAATAAAATAAATAAAGAAATGGTTAACAAGAGAGATACTTATTATTTTTGTTGAAGGTAGACAGATCTGACCAATTTAGCTACACTATCGTCCATTAATAAAACAAGTTGTAAAATAATAAATAAAGCATAATCAGCCTATAATGAAATGAAATGATATTTATTTCTGTAAGTAAATCTTTTCAGATATTTTTACAAGTCGGACTTTATAGAAGGAGCCGGCATTTCCTAAGACTCACTCTGGGAAGAAACACCGAAACAAACCACAGAGGTGTCTTTTTTTTTTTAAGTCCGTAAACAAAGTTAATTAAAACTGTGCGAGTACAGTATAGGGTCTGGATAGGCCTTTTGAGGAAAGGATCATAGTTTTGAGTCAACCTGTCCATACAGACGGCATACAGGCTCCAGCCATCGTGTAGCCTAACCGATATTGGTCAAGATCAACGACCCGAAGCATGACACTACCGCATGTTAATACCTATTTAATTTCATATCTCACAACTCACAAGGGTTGCCATCAGTATGGTTTATCGCCTAAATATGATTAAGCCTTCTTACTACTTTATATCGTGAAATAGGTAATAATTTAAGATAATATATAAAATATGGGTGATAATTAAAATGCAAACGCGTGACCTTACATAACATTGTCATTTTTTTCCAAATTAGTATAAATTGGACCTGGAGTCTTATTAGATTTGTTTTTTTTTTTCGTATTTTTTTTTTAATATTTTTAGTATAAAACTACTTATAATGTAAATATTTAAAGAAGCATTGTTTACTAGGCACATATAGGTCAAATCAAGCAGCGCGCGATTCAGCTACTTCCTGCTGCACACTTCCTTCCCTTTATATCTCTTACAGATAGCAGAAAACGAGATGAAAGATTTTACACATCAACATTTGCAGCTACTTAAGTCTACCTATTACAGATTTACATAAAAAAAGCGGCCAAGTGCGAGTCGGACTGACGTATGACGTATTAAAAAAAAACTACTTACTAGATCTCCTTCAAACCAATTTTCGGTGGAAGTTTGCATCGTAATGTTTATCATACATTTTTTTTAATTTTATCATTCTCTTATTTTAGAAGTTACAGCGGCGGGGCACCAATTTGGAAGTGTCGCTCGAGCAAACTATTCAGTTCAGAAAAAAATGATATTAGAAACCTCAATATCATTTTTGAAGACCTATCCATAGATATGACCCCACACGTATGGGTTTGATAAAAAAAAAATTTTGAGTTTTAGTTCTAAGTATGGGGAACCCTCAAAATTTATCGTTTTTTTTTGTGTGGTTGTGACATACGGACGGACAGACAGACAGATATGACGAATCCATAAGGGTTCCGTTTTTTGCAATTTGGCTACGAAACCCTGAAAACTAAATGACGTAACGTTACTAAATGATAAGCCCATACACTCTAGTTTTGGGCCCTAAATAGAATAAAGCCCTAAAGTAATGTAAGTTTTCACGGAATATTTTTGAGAGATTTATTACTTTGCCTTGCCATAAACATGAGTTTTCCTAAAAAACCTATTTTTTTTTTCAAAATGTAACCTTCGGAGAGAGATTTGAGAGAGTACCTACCTATTTTATCCTAATACAAGATCCTCACAAGTCTTACGTCTGGTATGTGATTTGGTTCGGTGCAAATTTTTTCTTTAGTTAAATTATCCTCAATTACAAAATTACTTTATTTACGTTTTAATATCTGTTTTAGATTATTCAAATTAATATTTGTACAAAATTTTAAACTAATCGATCCAGGAGTTTTGGTGCAATCTGGATGTGACAAACATGAGTGATCGGATCAATCGTACCTACTTCTGTCTCGTTTCACTTTTTCTTATTCTAATTTAAAGATTACGGGTTTGTCAAAACTACTCCGTAAACATTAGAGAAAGGATTACGTCAACTTCCTTCCGAATAACCTATTCTTATACAAGGTATGTAGATTTTAATTTTCACTTTTACTTACGTCTCCTCATTAGTTAGACGAACCAGTTGTCTTCTGAAATGTTCATAGTTTTCATAGTTTTCTTTATCATGCTTTTAACCATAGTAGACTAATTTAGACGATTAGGTCTATTTTGGGCCATATGGAGACACACAGACTTGCTGTGTATAGTTAAAAAGGACGATATTAAACTTGGAGCAAAGGGATTTTAACATATTTGGCTGAACTGGACACTGGTAAAATTATAGTAATGTACAATAACTGCAAGTCGACAGCATACATTCTTCCTCCGAGCCTTTTCGCCAAACTAGTTTTTGTCGGCATTAAGTATTTAAAGATTAGTTTTTTTGCGACTACCATCAGACCACCAACCCAAGTATGGTTGGCGATATCGAAGTTCTGTAGAAATACTGTTGTTGGACTTTTTAGGACTCAAACTACCTGTAACGATTGCCAAAGGTGTTCGTATGGCAACCGGGACCGACGGCTTAACATGCTCTCCGAGGTACGGACGGATCTCAATGTGTTAGAAGAAGACACCTATCCATGACTGACCTGGCTATGATTGATTAACTTTGCAGTGTGCAATGCGACCTACTTGGTTACCATTTAGCCACGAGCCCCAATACCCAACTTAAAAATTAATTAATAATTTGTGGTAAAGAAAACTGGAAAAAAAAAATTCAAACACTTTTTTTTACATTACTTTTGTTAGAAAATAAAATAAACATAAACATAGTGGTATGCAGTTATGGTGACATAGGGATTCTATTAGAAGTCAAAGTCATCACTGTTAGGAGTTTCTATTCTTATACTAGCATCAGGGTTTTCAGATCCTTTATCCGGTAAATAAGTTGTAGAAGTATCTGAAATTTTAATAAAATCATTATTAGGACAATGTGCAACAAAATACGCATATATATATACGTTTAAACAATAATGTATGTATGTCAAAAGTATTAGAAAACGCACAGCACAACGCTTTGTCTATACAAACAAATAAAATTGAAGTAGCTATTTGTGATGTCAAATTAATAAGTATTTTTCATGCTCACATGGTTATTTGCACGATACTTATGCCTAAAAACCAGTTTAAATAATTTTTGTTTGTCTGTCTGGTTGTTCCAGGTAATCTTCAAAACGGCTGGACCGATTTTCATAATATGATAATAAGGAGAGGCCTATGTCCAGCAGTGGACTAGTATAGGCTGTTGATGATGATGATACTACCAGGTATCTGTCTATATGATAAGGAATAACTTAGGCTAATTTTTCCTCTCAAAAAACTCTATAAAATTTTGCCCGGTCCGGAAATTAAACCCGAGGCCTCATGGACTGCACTAAGGCATTGCTTTTCAAATTACACGCCAACGAAGCCGTGGGCACCAGCTAGTACAAAATAAAAATATGCTCCTTATTTTTTTTAATTATCGACAAAATTCTCATTATTCAGTAATAAATGGTGTAGAAATGTTAACAACTCAGAAAATCAGGAAAAACATCCTAATAGTCACACTGGTGTGTCAATCTAATGTAGCCACGAGTCCGCAATGTATATTACAGACATACACTTTAAACGAACGAACTAACTAACTAATGAAAAAAGAAAATGCAATTGAAAGCGAGTGTCAAATTTTGAAATTTAACACAAAAATGATTTGTGTAGTGTGTATTTTACAGTAAAATTATTTACCATTATCAATAGACGTAGCCTCTGTACTTCCAACTTGAGCCACTATAGAATAAGTGGCCTTATAAGTGTCAACCTCATTCTTCGACATTAACGATTTGGAGACTGTATCTGTTTGCCCTTTTTCATAATTATCATTTTTGGAGTTACTAGTTTGCAGTGATGAAGTCTTATCTTTATCTAACCTCAATCTTTTCCCGAATTTAATAGTAGGTGCGTTTTTATCTCCACTGGCATTATCGGAGTAACTGTCATCATCAGAATCCGAACTTTCTATAGGAAATTCGATATTGAACTTGTTCTTGAAACGCTTTTGATATTTTTGTAGATCATATTTACTTACTTTCTTAGGACTACCAATACTTCCCTTATATCTATTTAAGAAACAAAAATTTTCTAAACGTTTTGCAAGCACCATTTTTTCAGCTAAATCAGCTTGGGCCATAGCTACTTTAAGACGTGAGTTATACTTCTTGTTTTTTAATGGATATTTGAATCCATTTTTATTAGACGTGTAAGGTTTTAAATTCTGAGGAGCAATCCAAGATCGGGTAGCTTCCATTTCGTCAAAGAAGACAACATTATAATGCGTCTGGAAAATCAAGATTACATTTGAAATGCTGTAGCTATAGTTCATCGCTTTTACTTATCCTGGACATGACTCTGTCAGATTCGGCTTTTGTTCTATGAGATACTTTTACTAGGTAGTACTTATGACTAAAACCTATTAAATACTTAGATAAAAAATAAGTTGAATGTATATATCAGGGTTAGGCAAGAAAAAATCGAGCAAAATAAGGGGAGAGGAATCCGGAAGTGTATTGAAATACCGGTATATCAGAGAATCCATCAAGCCAATAAAATTGTTCGGTGTCGGGACAATCGTCAACCATGGCTGGCCACCAGGGCCAGCCGGTCAGACGAGCCCACACAAGTGATCCCGCCGTATACTCGCTGTGAATCAAGTCCTCTTCATCACGTAGACGGAGTGGAGCTTCGGCCACTGAACAACTTGCAAAGTCAATGTCTGCAAAACGTAAAATTCTCAAAAGATCAGTTGTCGTACTAAAATATCGTTCCGATCTATTTTTTATCTTATAAATGTTATAAAAAGTATTCTCGTAGTAAAGTGTAAATAAGACTAACTGAATACCGATTAAATTTTCGGTCACTATACTCACAATGCGATATAATCACATTACAGTCAACGTTGGATGTTTAATACTTTACTACGAGAATACTTTTTATGACATTTGTGAGATCGAGAGTAGATCTAAACTGAATTTTGAATGATTTTTTATTACGAGAATTGACTTACTACTACTGACCGGATTGAACAATATTCTACTACCTTCTATTTTTATCAGAACTGTGTAGAGCTCTGGACATCAATTCCATGAGCATTTAAGAGACGACATAACTTGAACCAAGTTATGTACTAACCAAACACTAATCGACTAATAGAATAAATATTTTACTCCAGGTCTTTAATATTAATTTAGTTTCAACAAGTTATTTAGCATTACTTTAGTTTAATCGATACTATGGGGTTAACTTCAATCAGTAACAAAATTACAAAATCTGTTATTTTGTATAATGTTGTATGTTAGGTATCGTAATAACTTCTCATAAGTCAAGTAAAAATCACTTTCCGAAATTGGGAATGGTTTTTCTTTTTGCATTTGGCTTTTTAACATTCCTTTCCATGTGACGCCTAAAGCGACCGTTCCACTCACTCATTTCAGACTTATGGCAAGTTGACGTCTCCTACAAGAATTGATATACAAAGTGCACGCTATTTTACGAGATTTTTCTCCGAAAATATTGTGCCTCATAAAATTTGAAACTTACCTGAATTCATGGAACAATACCATTTATTAGGTAGTTCATGACGGTCAATAAGGTTGGGCATGTATCTCCAGCGGTCACATTCGTCGCACTGTACCCAAAGACCCGTTGTTCGGCGCTTCTGAAGCCACAGCAATTTTTGAAAATGAGAGAGCCCCGGTGCTGGCTGACTCAATATATCCTTGTAAAAGCTATAAAAATAAATTTATAATTGTGTAGAAAATCGGGTATAGAACAAAAAGAAATTTACAGGCATGCAACTCATTATAAACTTTAAAAACTAAGTTATGAGCCACATCAATAAAATGAAAATTTATCTCGTTTTCCACTCTGGTGTATACTCACACTCCCAATTTCGATCGTATGAAATAATTGGTTTGTTTTAAACAAAGAGAACATCATCATTATAATACTATCAACTCGTATGAATATTAATTTGTTATGAGTTATTTGTTTGTTAGAGTGTCACAAGACTGTGGGGTGTTTATTCCTAAAATCCTTGAAATATTTATTGGGTTAATAACAGGGAAGGGATGAAGGGACTTGCTTTTATGAGAGTCCTTTTTAAGCTACTGCATAGCTTCTATCGCGGGCCTTGAGCGTGGAGACCGAATCCAGAAATTCCGTAACGAAAATAACCTAACACCTCCCACTCCGACTGGCACAGCGGTGATCCTTTTTAGTTTTGCCATCTATCGATGAATAACAGAACTTTAAGGTAGGGTGTTCCTTTGACTTTTTATTTTTATTAATGTAATAACATCCACATACAATACCCCCCCACCAAAAAATTTATAATTGCATTGAGGTCCCTTCTAAATACCTCCACTTTTCTCTGGCCCCAACAGTTTTTTTTTGAAAAGTATCGTAACATGTAACAACACTTCAGTCTGTTTTTCTAAAGAGGGGCGAGGGGGGTATTTTCGAGGGATGACTTTTTTTTATGATTGCATTGAGGTCCGCACAAAATACCTCCCCCTCACCCTTCAACTTTTTTCATTTATCCCCCCTTTGATTTTCTCGGTTCCTGGAGCACTTGGACACCCCATGTTTGGGTTCGTCTGAACCGGGAAAAGGAGACGAACAATCTGGCCTCTACAGATTTTTTAGCTGGTACCCGCGACTTTGTTCGTGTGGTATTTGAAAACACTGTCTTAGTGGGTTCTATTCCTGGCCGGGCAAAATTCTAGAGGGTTTTCCTGAGATAATTATTTAATACTAATTTTATTAATACTAAGTTGATAAAAAATGCTATGCAATAGCTTTACCGCGGCAGTCCTCGAGTGCCACACGTCTTTTTTTTAGTATACAATATTCTCAATAAGATTTCTATATGCCTTTAATAATAATTTCATATTTTTAACAACGAAGGGATCGATCGAGGATCGTTCTAAGTGACATCCGATTGGAAAGACCTATGTCCAGCAATGGACTTTGGTATGTAGTCTGATGATGATGAACAACAAAGGGAACGATTGCATGAAACACTATTTACTATTTTTATTATTTTCATTTACCTGTTGCTGTACGAAGATGTGATCTCAACTGAATCAACATTTTTCGCAAAATTAATTTTTTTTAACGATTTTTGATCCATGTTATGTGGCATGTCTTTGTTGAGCTATTTACAAAAAGATAAACTGTTAATATACATATAATATCACAGGGAGTTTGTTAATTTTGATTAAAGTAACTGTACATACTCAAGTATACGTTACCTGTTAAATTAAACATAAAATAAAGACACTTTGTAGTCCTTCCAGTACCACCGTGTTTACGAAAGTTTAAGTATATATATATATATATATATATATTATATACATACGGATAAGGATACATTTCATTAAAATTATTTTTCACTCTTTTAAAACATACCTTTGGTTGGTGAGCCTCTTCATTAGGTTCAAAAGCTTTCTTATTGGGTAAATCGCCACTTTTCATGGTGTTTGACAATTTTTGTTATTCAATATTCCCCAGAGATTAAATTTGCTCTGTCTAATTTAAATTCGCGCCAAATTCAAACTATCTACTATAGATTATAAAGTGGACATTGATAAGAATTGGGATTTTAGTATTTTCCTTATATTACTCTTTCATTTTGTTGTCTTTCGTAACTTGTTAATTAACATTATTTACTTTATATATATATATATATATATATATATATGTAACTTTATTGTTCAGTTGCTTTCATGGTACATACTTTTAGTATCGATTAAAATAGTGTGTTGTCGATTTAAAAGGACGTCAGTAGTATAAATTGAAAAAAAAAGTCATAACAACTACTTACATTTTAAATTATTTGTTTGTCAAATTTTAAAAGTTAAAAATAAACTATCAAAACGCCAAAAGATAGTTGGTAATATTTTATTGATATTAATCGTAGTCACCCTTTCATTATTCATCGGAAGTGCGCATTAGAATAATTGGCTGGCTGCCGGTTCTACGGTCGCCATATTCGTGGCGAGCTATAAGACAATTTCGGGCTCTAAAGTTTTCGTCGTTGTCGACGAAGGGGAGTTATACTCCCTTTTTTGTGTTCTCTGTTTCGTGTTTGTGTATTTACCGTTTGGTAAAGATTACTTGTATAGAAAAGTATATTTTTCTTTATTTTGAACCATAAACATGGCTTTTTAAAATGTCGGCCTTGCACGTAATATCGTTATCTCCTCGCGGAGTCTCCCGCTCATCTGTTTTCGTGGATGTTGGAGGAATCCAGAATGGACAAAAAATCTTTGAACCGATTATCTCAGCCACAGTCGAAGGCAACAGCCATCGACTGTAAAAAAACCTCTGGTAAGTCCTTTTCCAAAGGTCATGTCATTCTCATTTTTATTATCTACCTACCTTGATTGATAAGATGTTATTTTTAATTATTTCTTTGATGTTCGAGATATTGCTTATTTTTAACATATCTAGGCGTTTTTGGCAATATAATGTGTTTAATAAATAAAAACAGTGACCAGTCTTCAAACTAGCGCCATGTCTAAACGGATTGTACGCACTGATTCTTAGGGTATTATTATAGCATAATCATATTACTTATTTTTTATTGCATATTTTTAGCTGTAGAATTGACCCAGAAGCCTTGGTCTCGAAATAATAATAAGAAACGTGATGGACCCAGTACTGCTCCTAAGAATGAGCCATTTCGAAAAAATGGACTGGTTCACAGTGCCAGGACTCAGGTTGAAAAAAGACCACGCACTCGCAGCACAGTCGATTTGTCTGTGGGTGGAACTACGAACTCCAGGTACTCTTACCGTGATTATTGACACTTTACCTTAACGCTAACGTAGACTAAACCCTGTTTTCTGAATTACAGGATAGGAAATGATGATGAGCCAGAAATTGGCTCAGTGTTTGTGCCTGGAAGCAAGAAGCAAAACTTCAATCATTTGAAAAACTTCACGTATCACAGTGGTGGGACACCTGAACGCCGAGGTCAGCAGTCACGCCGCAAGCAGCAGCAGCAGAAGAAAAGGCAACAACACCAGGTGCCTCATCGTCATGAAAATGATCTTCATTTAATTGCTAAGTAAGTTAACTTCCAGATTAAAGGTTTTGGTCTCTGCTATTTTGATACTAAATACCAATATAATAAATACAATTGCTACACCTATAGTTCATTATGTGGGTGTTTACAATAAATTATGATCCCTCATGTCTTATCTAGGTTGGACCTGTCTCTGACATTAAATTCTTACAAGGAATTAGGTAGAACATAACCAGATTGTCTAGTTAATCCTAAATTATAATTTGTTATTAAATACCTTTGGGTTCAAATTTAATATTTTTTTGTTTTAGAACTTATGAAAAAACTTTCAGGGTAACAGATTCTTAAAACTGTTGTATAAAAACCTATCTTCTTTCATTTCAAAATTAGCTTGGATTTATGTCTTACTTATAAACAGTTTTAGTTGATGATGACCATGGAAATTGGCCTAAAAGTAAATCTCATGGTCATGTATATATTTTAATTAAATTTATTAATTATTGTTGTAAAAACTTGTACATGAAGACTTTTTGCTTTAAAACCCTTAACATAATTAAAATATATTAGAAAATAATATTTGGATCCTGACAATCTTTTTATTGGTCTAAAAGTATCAAATACCTGTAAAATAGTTAACTCCATGTAACTGACAGATCTCAATCTAAAAAAACTCAATGGCCCAGACTTAGTGGCAACAGTCAGTTCAAATTACTAGCGAGCTATTTGACCCTGACCTGATCAATTAAAAGAATGGATTGGAATTGATATTGCAACTGTGAATTTACTGCATCCATATATGTGTCAGAATTTTACCCAGGACATAATATCTAGAAATAATTGTAAAGTAATGCAGCATATGTTAACTAACTTATTATAATAATAATTCGCACCTTTATTCATAAACTGAATTAACTTAGAATTTCAATATTGTGGGAAATCGCATTTAAAGTTTGACATTCATGTACGTGCGAGTTCGTCAAAAAGAGAACGACGATCTTTTATCTCTGCCATTTTCATGGTATCGAGTCGGCTGTTGGATTGTTCGTGTTCTACTGATGAAGTTGATTTGGTATTTATTGAAAACTCGAAAAACGTAAATTTTGAATTAATTCAGTTTATTATTAAAGGTGTGAATTGTTCGAAATTGTATTAATAAGTAATGCAATCAATTCTTTTTCTTTAAGATGTCACTACAAAATATGTAAATCAATTTGTTGTTTACGCCAATATTTTAATGCTTTCAAATTACTTATAAACTAACATTGTTTTATCTCAAGGGCGATTATTAGGTAAAAAACTTTTTATTGAATTTTATTTATATATTACTGACAGATAAAAGATTATGTTCAGTTCAGATATTACTAAACCCATATTACAGAATGTTTATCAAAACTGAAGTAACGTTTGAGCATAGTTTTATAAGGCGAAAACTAACCTCAAGCATTTCTGGAGTGTTAAGTATAATTTTGTAATACAACCGTTACATTTTTGTTCTTTGTAGATACTTAATTGTTGCTGAATTACTTTCTGTACTTTACCTTTTTTAACCACCTTTGGGGTGACCAATTGATACTACTTAGTCATTTAACTTTGGCTATAAGAAAACGTGTATTTAGACAGGGGAATTTCTAGTACCTACCTACCTACCTACGTATTTATTTTTTATCTACCTACCTAAATACATTTTCTCTTATTTAGAATTATTGCCGTGTGTCTATCTTATTACAGTGTTCAATCCACTGTAATAACAGAAAAATGTCTAAAAATACAGTAGATTTCAGTATACAATCGAAATTTGAAAATGATGGTTCGAGTTTCACTTTCGCCCGAAAGTGAAACAAGGGCCGAAAGTTCGGTTTCAGCTGAAAAGCATGGTTCGGTCAGACACTAATTAAAATAGAGATAGGTTAATAGTGCATTCACCTTTAGTGAATTGATGTGTGAAGAATGTTGTGTGATCTCCCTCCTTCATGTCAACACAAAGGGAAGATCGTGGCTGGTGAGTTGTGGCTCAACAGTTAGTTGTACTTTGTTTTAGTTATACTAATCAATTCGAGAACTTTCCATTGCATGATGCAGTATTAATAGTTAGTCTTTAGAAACACAGTGTCTTCATTGTTGGCATTGTATGTGGAATTCGCCACGTATGTATGTGAAATGTACAGTCATTATTAAGCAATTATTTTTTAGTTGATTACCTTTTAGTTCCGACTAGCTTTTGCCCGCGGCTCCGCCCCCGTGTATGTCGGTTATCGATGTAAAATGTAGCGTATGTTACTCGCTCGCTTGCTTTAAAAAATCTGTCAGCAATGGAAAGCTACATTATGTAGATTTCCATTGGTGAAAGAATTTCGAAATCGGTTTAGTGCTTTAAGCGTGAAAGCTAAAAACAAACAACTCTCTTTTACATTATAATATAAGTACATCTAATGGATGATGTAGGCATGTTAATGTAAGTTATATATAAATAATGTAAGTGTTAATGGGGATTGTTATACACATTAGTTTATAATTCTTTTTTAGCTATAATATTATCCCACAAAAATGTATGTGACAACTACTAGTATAAGTTAAATTTAACTCAAAAATACCTTTAACAATTGGAAAAGAATGGGTAACTTCTAATCAACCTTTTAAACACATTTTCTAAAATGCTCTGTATTTAATTACTTAATATAAATTGTGGTTTTGGGACAAACAGGCCTTTTTTGCATCTAAATTAATATTTAAAGAATTTGTTTTGGTTGTAGTTACCAGTTTGTGGTCAAGGAAGATGGAGATTATAAATCAATTTTGATTGATCCCAAGACGCCCATTAAGTGGTGGGAGCAAATTGAACAAATTGTAAGTATTTCAATCACACTATTAAGATAGGATACTTCTTCAAGACCTATGTCTGTTTTAATATGTTTGTTTTACTGCCAAATTGAAGTAATAAATAATTATCCTCATAGTTTAACCAACATTTTAAATACTATTGAAAATAAAGACTAAATGATCTTTTATATTGTCTCAGGTTGTAAGAGGGACAGGCAAGACAGAGTGTCCCATATGTTTAAGTCCACCAACAGCAGGTCGTGTAGGCAAGTGCGGTCATGTATATTGCTGGGCCTGTATTCTACACTATGCTGCAACTCGTGAGACACGGCTTCCACCATGTCCTGTCTGTATTCAGACAGCTTTACATGTCAAGGTTATGAAACCAATTAGGATTGTGCAATGGAATTCACCTGCAGAGGAGGTTATTCTTTGTTTTTTTTTTTTGTTAAATTAACTTAACTAACCTTTAAATGAAAGTACATTGCTTATTCAAAGGAGATGATAGTATAGGGCTAATACAGATAAGAGGAGAGAAAGTCCTGGATTGCTTGTAAGTGGAATAGGATCACACCTTTCACTGATTTGCTGGCCCGAAGTAGACAAGGGGAGATATTGATATTGTGATATAATTTTAGGATATTTAATATAAAGTTTTAAAATTTTTTAAGAGACAAATTGTATTATGGTTTGCAGTCTTTTTTGTTGTTCCCAAATTTACATATTTTTTTTTGGCAGTAAATAAAAAAGATAATTTTGATAATTCATATAAAAATGATGTAAAGCAAACTTTTTAGTTGATGCAGCTATCATATCTTACTTAGCAAATCAGCTAAGAGGTGTGAGAAAGATGCTTGTAAATCTTCGTCTTCTTTCCTTTTCTACCAACGTCCCCGGATCGTGACTTGCTTCTCTCGTCTATCTGTATTATCTCTATAGATGATAGTAGTAAACTTAAAGGCAAGCCAAGATTATATAATCTTACTTGTTTAAATGTTTAACTTGAAAACAGCACATAGTTATGTTTAAATTAGGATATTAAATTATGCTTGATGTATCTGTATTAGCGTTAAACACTACATCGTCTAATTTTATTGTCTTGCGCTATGTAAGTAATACGATATTTATGTAGGTAACAATGCGGCTTGTGCGTCGCCTACGGGATTCGAACACTGTAGAAGTGGCGCCCCCGCGCGGATTCTTAACAGAGGCTGCTGATCCTATCCTACCTTTATCCAATATCGATGTGGCGCCGTATTGTAAACTTTTTTCAGCTACAAAGCAACAGGTAAATATCGACTATACTTGATAACTGTATTAGTTTATTAACATTGTATTTTACATGATATTTTATATTCTTACTTTATTCTTTAGGTCCATGATATTATACAAAGAGAAAGAGATGAAATAAAGCAACGAATATTGGCAGAAATTGACACAACTGAAATAGTGTTCTTAGAACAAGCATTAGAAATGCTAAGACTTAAGGAAGAACACATTAATATGGAATGGGATAAACCAAAGGTAGTTGAAGAAAAAACTGAAGAAGTTCCTATTGTTTATGAAAAGCAGGAAATTAACCAGAACAAATTAGATTGGTTTGATGTCAATGAGGAAGGAGCAGCATGTGTTGAAGTTGTCCAAAACCAAATGGATGAACTATATCTTAGCGGTGACTATGTCACTGAGGAAGGAGCTGCATGTGTTGAAGTTGTCCAAAACCAAATGGATGAACTAAATCTTAGTGGTGACAGTTTTCCTGATTCTAATTTAAATCCAGAGGCACCACTATTTGAAGTAGATGGTATGCCACAAGAAGAAACTCCTTTAACTGAAATTCAACCTCCAGTATCTGAACAAGCTACTGATGTTACCATCACAGAAATTGACATACTTAATCAAGACAAATACTTTTATTTCTATCAATGTATGTTAGCTTTATGATATTAAAATGTTTTAGTTACAGTTTATTGTATTGTGATGTATTTTAACACACTTTCAACTTTTTTCAGCTGATGACGGCCAACACATATTCTTGCACAGTTTAAATATTCGCGTTTTGAAAGACTCTTGGGGTATTTTGGCAGCGGCACCAGAAATAATTACTGGACGAGTACTTCATCGCGAGAGTTTTTCAGTCCGTGAAGGAGTAAGTATTTTAATACTTTTAATTATCTAATTTATTTGTTCTGTACAATTTATACAATTAGTGAGGCTGAATATTGAAATTACTTACCATAATTCTCAGAACTTAAAAATTCTATGATAAAAAGAGATTTTTTACTTTGTTTTAAAGTTTCTGATTTGTCTAACTACAGCTTTTAAAATTATTAAACTAACTTGGAAAACATGAACATGACTGCTCTGCTTGAATATAAACAGAATGTGTTATCAAGTAATTTTTATCATCTATATCCCTGTTGCATATAGCTCTGGTGACTCCACTCACCATTATGAATGAAGGCATCTGGTTTTTCTGTGACAATAATAATTGACAGGTGCAAATTCTTCTATTTAAATACCACTTTACTTCACTTCATATATTATTTTACTCTTTTTTAGACCACAAAGCCCTGCACAACTCACTTGCCACTAAATTGCTCCTATGATATTGTCGAATTAGACTTGCAACCACCATATGTCACGGATGCAGCATTGCAGACACACACAGGTGACGAAAAAATTGTATAATTTCGTGTAATATATAAGTAGGGCGGCTGGTACTTAATATCACTTAAATTACAACAATTACTGCTTTAACTATATTAATATTGTTTTAACTGCAACATCAAAATATAAACTGAAATGAAAAACTCTTTGAAGCATCATCATACCTTGAATATATTAGACCACACGGAAAATTTGCATTGTATTTTTACTCTATACTTTTAACATGGGAATCACAGGGAATGCTTAAGCTAAGTTTTTTTTTAAGCAAGAAGTAACTGAACTATTATTTGTTTCAATTATATTGCAGAGGAGATAGAGCGTCGCGCAAGGATTCGAGCACGTCATGATCGCAACGATCGACGTCGTGAACGGGCTTATAAACGTGCTATGGAGGGTCCACCAAAACCGGATTTTTCTTCTGAAGTGTTGTTCCCACCTGCACCACCCTCATATTCAAGTCCATCTGTGGACCCTGTTTTTATGTCCACATTTGAAATGTCCAGCCCGTCCACGAGCGTCGGCTCGCCATCTTCTGGACCTTCATTTGCCAAGGTATATTTGTTATTATATAATTTCCTATGGTTTCAGGGTGTTGACTTGTTCCATGCACATAACTTACTTAACATCCCCCTTTTAATATATCTGTTCTTCTAATCATGACAGAAATCCATGCTCTTCTTCTTTGTCCTTCACATGATATTCTTCCTTCTCTGTCTAAAGCTGTATATCTCTGAAACACCCTCAATCTAAAAATCGTGATCTAAAAGGTCGATTGTTAGGTGGACACCTAACAATCGACCTTTTAGTTTAGAATATACAAGCCTATTTGAAGACTTGCTGATGTGTCATCACAATAATACCCTCAATAGAATACTTGCAATCATATTTTTTTTACCTCGAATCTTCATTTTATTTACTTACAGTATATAAGTTCATTTATTTACAGTGCTTTTATTTTAGAGTTGTTCTATTTTTGTTGTAGATTGCTAGTACTAGTGGTACATGGCGTGTTCGTGAAAAGCCAGCCGAGACACCTCCAGTGGCTGTTGAAGAAGAAATATCTGCGCCGCGCGTTCACGTCCTCAATGACGCCTTAGAGGCTGCCCTGCGCGCCGCACCCTCTCCTTCTGGCAAGAAAAATAAAAAAACGAAACAAAAGCTTCTGTTCTCCACTGGCATGCAACGTGCTGCTTAACTAAGTGATTTTTAAATTAACTAGATATCTTTATTTTGTTGCCGACCTTTATTTGATTGAAAGAGGTGAAACTATTTCTACATAAAACTATTAAATTGCGGCTTGTGTTACATTGGGGATGAAATTGACATAGTGTCTTAAAATCTATCATAATTATTAAATTCCCTCCTAAAAAGATCAATTTGTATATTTTCAATAAAATGTTGTGAGGGATGTTAATTTTTATTTTATATCTTGTAATAATTATGCAATGTTATATCCTAATATACCAATAGTGTTCTCCATATAATTGCATATTATAACGCTTAACCAATAATTGTAACGAGACAAAATTTTGGTGGAATAAAATTGATGACATAAATTATTGTAGTTTTATTAATTCATTTGGATTGTCGGTTGCTTGAGAAACATTAGAGAACCTTCTTTTAATGGCAAAACCTGTTCATCAATTTAAAGTCGTAGCCGAAAATCATTTGGCGCTCTTTTTGGTTCCTTAGTCGACGTGTCCCCTCTTGTGTTCTGAGGATTTGCACGAATATTTTTGTCTCCAAACTCGGGTCGTTGGTGCTCGTGTCATAACTTAATAGATAAAAGTCGCTGAATCGCAACCAAACACATTATTTAGTATTATGGAATCTAAACTATGGTACAGTCCAATTGACCTGCATAAAAATAATTAATCTTACCTTTGTAACTTAATGATTTTCTAACTTTTATTAATAAAAATTAACTTCAAATATCACACATCACGCATGTGACGATGGTGTTTCAATTCTTTATGTAGTAAATCAGACGTTAAAGGGGTAGAGAACAGCAGAATTAAGCTAAGGTCCAATACTTTCAGACTGCAGAAGATAGCGGTTAAATTTCGTTACATAAATTAACGAATACAGTTTTTTCTCACACTTCGATTTTTTCCGATATTATGTTCTACTTGAATACGAGGTCTGTTCTTTTGACAATGTTTGAAGTGATTATCATTGAAGTACAGTTTAAATAAATTAAATCAGCACCATTTTTTAAACAATACCTTAAGGTCTCTGTTCTTATGACATGCGGCTGGAAGTGACGTCCTCAAACTCGCTCACAAACTCCGGCACGGTGCAATATCAGCATGGAGGCGAGGCATCATCGTGGGATCTTCTACGATATCACTATTTATCACTATCACGGCGGCGCACCGTCATGTTGGAACCAAATTCTAGGTAATCAGGCAATAGGAAGATCTTCAATTTGATCCCACTCATGAGCCAAGTCATTCTCCAATTATAGTAGGGTATCGACTAGATCCCGCTGCAAAAAGTTCAAATACCGTTGCCCATGCATCCGCTCTGGTAAAAAGGAGGGACCGATAATTTTTTTATTGTAGATCCCCGCCTAAACATTTACGGACCAACGCGTTTGATGTCCCGTCTGTTGGTACTCACTTGGATTGGTGCGCGACCAAATATGAGAATTCCGGCGGTTCCCCATGCCGTTCCTCGTAAATGTCGACTCATCGGTCCAAATCACGTGTGACACAAGGGTAGGATTATGCCGCTGTTGATTTGCCAACCATCGGCAATAAGAAACGCGACGGCTTTCATCCCCAGGCACGAGCGCTAGTACTTTGTGTACCTATGCGATATGGCCGTTGGCGGTCGAAGCGGCGGCGAAGGATTTTCTGAACAGTCCAGTGTGAAATAGACGTCCCGTGACGCTGCAGAAACTTCGCAGTATTTCGTGCGTCGAGACGCGGATTACGCTGAACGGTTTCTAGTACTTTGTCATCCCTCTCTGGTACAATGGGAACGTTATCCAGCACACGTTGATATGCCAGAGTTATAACGCGACTATCCATAAGGATACACGCGTTAGGGTAACGCTGAATGTAAAAACGAAGCGCCAAAGAAGCATTTCCTCTTGCTTCACCATACTCACGCGCACTAAAGGGCTGTCTTGTGAACCGATTCATAATTATTTTAAATCACTTTCACTAACACCGATTAGGTATTTTTCACCTTAGAATTCGCACTAAAAGTTCAAATATCACTGCAACGCGTAATTGCATTTCGTAATTGCACGTAATCGTGCAATTAGGAAATGCAAAAAATGCAAAAGGAGCAACACGAACTAAAATAAATTTACATTAATCCAATTAGATAGATAGATATATAGATACTTTATTTGTACACCAGTGTTTTACAGACATTATAAAGTAATTAACAAAAGATGTAATGTACAAAAGGTGTGTAAAGATAGTAAGCGGCAAGGCATTCCATAAACGTACAGCTTTTACGGAAAATGATTATGTGTAGAAATTGGTAGAATACCTTGGTATTTCCAATCTCAGGCTTTCAGAGGACCTCAGACATTTCATATGTGTGTCAAGAAGGAACTTAAAGCGTTCTTTGAGGTAAATAGGAGTTAATGGATTAAACAGAATATTATACAGAAGCGTAAGGATATGAGTATTCCGGCGAAGGCGGATTGGAAGCCACCTGAGCTTTTTACGGTAGTGGGAAACATGATCATATTTGCGAATTATTAACCAAAAAAATGGAAAAATAAAATAAGTAAATAATAATAATAATAGTGGAAAATAGTAGTAGTTGAAGTAGGCTCTAATATTCTTTTCTGTGTGAGATATAGTTTTTTTTAAGGTAGTGGTTTTCTTTCGTTTTTAATAACGTATGGTAACTTGTTAAATATTTTAACTGCCATATAGTATGGGCTTTCCTTCAACATTTTTATTCTCAACGAAGGTAAAGCCTATTTTTGTGCTGAGTGTGGGTGTCTTTGGAAAGCACAACAATCGTCTGGAAAAGTTATGGTATGGTGTGGTCGGTATTTTGGGATGTGCATGGTGTAATATTCATCGACTATCTTGAGAAAGGAAATACCATTAACAGTGAATATTATATAGCGTTATGGGAGCGTTTGAAGGCCAAAATTGCAAAGAAATGAAAGCAAATGGCAAAGAAAAAGAATTTGTTTCATCAAGACAACACACCGTGTCACAAGTCAATCAAAACAATGGTAAAACTACATAAATTGGACTTCGAATTGCTCCCACATCCACCGTATTTGCCAGATTTGGCTCCCAGCGACTATTGGCTATTCGCAGACCTGAAAAACATGCTCGCCGGTAAAAAATTTCGCACGAATGAAGAGGTTGTCGCTGAAACTGAGGCCTATTTTGAGGCAAAAGATAAATCGTTCTATAAAAGTGGTATTGAAATGTTAGAGCGGAGCTGGAATGATCGCGTTGCTCTTGATGGAGATTACGATGATGATTAAAGCTAATTTTGAACCAAAAAAACCGTGTTTTCTTAGTTAGGCCCGGGACTTTTCAGCAGTTAAAGTTGCTTTTTTTTTAAATATGGTTTACAACTCTCCGTGTTATCAATTTGGGCTAGGATTCTCATACATTTATTTTGCATTAGGAATAGTTCGCCGCTTTTAACACTATTTCCCTATAGCGTGACGCCATATCGCAGCCATGAGTAGTATGCATATGCGTAAAATATTTTCGATGTTTCACAACTGCCAGACGCCCCTAGACAGCTCAATCTTTTTAATTTTAACTTCAAAAACTTGAGTTGATTTACTTTGTTTGTTAATTGTTTATTATTTTTTAATTTTATTTTACATAAGCATAAGCAAAACAGTCTTCACACACTAACCTGGAATGGCATGCCAAAAGCGACAGGTGACGTTTGTCAAATATCAATCACCGGTAGGCTCTAGCGCACGTTGGTAGAACTTAATATGTTTTGATCGTTTTGTACTGTAGAATTATTATTAACTTCATGGGATCGATTTGATTATATTTGCTGTCGCTCTTATTTATGCAATAATAAACTGATATAATAAAAGTTATGAGTTCCCGGAGTAAAGATTACATTTTTGAGCCGTTTAAGGTTACGGAAGTCAAATGTCGAAGTGCTGAACTTCCAAGACCTCGAAGTGGACATAGAATTGCTTGTGATGATGCTAAGATATATTGTTTTGGTGGTTATAATCCTTCTTTACCATTAACAAATATTCGAAGAGATAATCCTACATGGACGCCAACACGACCAGTATTTAAGGAATTGTGGAGTTTCTCCATAGCCAATCGCAAATGGAAGCAACATAAGGTGATCGAAAACATGCCGGAGGAATTAGCATCTAACGCTATGTGTATAAATGGCCGCTACTTAATGGTAAAAGTTTTGTGTATAAAGTAATGTTATAAGTTAGCTAGGATCAAGATATGTTACTTTTGTGTTCTTTTTTATAGATATTTGGAGGCACAGGTGCGCCGTTCGGGCACAGATGCAGTAATGATGTGATTGTGTGGCGTACTTGTAATGAGGATGCTAGACTCCAAATATTGGCAGTATCGGGCACAAGACCACCTGGCCAATATGGGCAAGCTGTATTGTGTTATAATGGATGTTTTTACACTGTGGGTGGAACAAATGGATTTGCATATAACTGTGATATCTATAGGTGTGTGTTTGTGATATTGTTTTGATAATTACTGTGGAATGGCTCAAATGTGGCTCTGTTGATCTAGTGACCAGTCAGGGTCACTAGATCAACAGAGTCAGTGGTCATGGGTTTGATTCCCATACAGGACAAATAATTGTGTGATGAGCATGATCATTTATTCATTTAGAAATATATAAGCATGTTTAAAATATATAAGCAGCAGTCTGACTAACATATTACAGGCTTAGTTTGGAATCAGATGGCTGTGTGTAAGATTTCTGAGGTTATTATACTTATATAATAAAAATTTGTTTTACAGGTTTGACTTACGAACACTGATCTGGGAACCAGTGTTTGTTGGAACTGGACAAGAGGGTGAGCCCTTGGGTAGGTACAGACATGAAATATCTCGGGTTGGTAATAAGTTGTATATTATTGGAGGTGGTACAGGAGAATGGGCATCAGAACTTATGGAAGTACCTGTTTTTAATATGGAAACAAGAACTTGGACTATATTATCAGCTAAAGCAGATGACAGTGGAACAGAAACCATATCTCCATCACCGAGAAAGTGTCATAGCGCTGTTCAGATTGATACATCAGAGGGAGCGCAAGTGTTTGTGGCAGGGGGCTCCGATGGACAATCTGTGTTTGATGATATATGGCGGTTAAATATGTCTGATTTACAATGGACTTTGATGCAGAAGACCGTTTTACCCCATCCTCTTTTCTTCCATTCATCCTCAATCACTTCTTATGGTTGCATGTATGTGTTTGGTGGTATTGAACCAAAAGATAATGATGTTACTTGTAGAAATAATATTCTATATAAAGTGTGGTTATGTATACCGAAGTTAAGTGAGATATGTTGGGAAGCGTTATTGAATTTTCATCCTAATTTAGATCAAGTGGACAGTAAATCACTTTTAAATATAGGAGTTCCAATACACCTTGTGCAGAGGTTACATCTGTAAACAATGATATCTTAAGTTAGTTGCTGTAAGCAATGTGTACTATTTATGTCTTATTTTGTCCTTTAATAAATTTGTATTGAACACCTAATTGTGCTTTATAAGTATTTTGTTGAAAAATATATGTATAATTAATTTTATTTTTTTCTAAAAATATTTATTTTACTCTGTTAGTGAATGAGCATCCCCAAAGCTGTAATCAAGCATTTTGTATATGTGTTATAAAGGATATAGGCAAAGTTTTGTTTACAAGAAACATGGACAGTTTTTTGAAAAGAAAACTTTTTTTCAATGTTTTTTTATCTAAAACTAGCCGAGGAACATGGCATAATTTGCCGTGATTTCGCTAAATTTTTATTGATACTTGGCTTCTATTGATCGTCGCATGATGTTATATAGCACTAAATAATTTTTCGATTCGAATCCTGAGACTATCCCGAACATACAAAACCCACAAACTACCTCTTTATAATATTAGTATAGATCTCTCACAGTCTTCTGTCTCATTCCAGTCACTCTTCATATAATGAGATTTTAAAAAAGTGTTTTATTTTTCCTTTTTATTTTATACAAACCTTATCGTGACAATAACGAACACAAAAAAATATCAGATATCTCATATGGGGCGAACCATCTCAGTTGAAAAAGTGTCAAGTGCCAGCTGTATACTTAAAATAGAGGTCACTGGCGTACGCAAAAGTAAGATATGAACATAGCTGAAGACGGAGTGACGTGTGCTGAGTTAAATTGTTACACGTTTTTTTTTTTTTTTTTTTTTTTAATTAATAAAAGGACTTTGTCGCTGAGCGACTACATCGTCCCATATGGACTACACGTTTATTTATTGTCTGTAAAACTAATAGACTATTTTCGCAGCCTAATACACAGTGTCTAATTACTATTTAAGCCAATATAAATTTAGCGCTACCCTTATTGGACGCATTTTTACGGAAACTCATACATAGAGATGGTTCTCCTTGCCTCAGCTACACTCCATAGTAAAAACGCATTCAATAAGGGTGGCCCGGGAGATGGGTTTAAAGCTACAATTCTCAAGCGGTGTTGTTAGCCACCAAATCGTGAGAAATAGGCTGCATGAATACGGCCTACGAGCACGATTCCCACTTAGGTACGCCTTGGGAATCGCGCCTGTCGAAACGAATGGTGTAGGGAACACTTGACATGGACCCAGGAGCAATGGGATAAAATTATATTTTTGCGATGAGTCCCGGTTTGGCTTTAGGCGTGATTTATTGATTTATCACAAACACATCCCACACAATCCTTACAAAAACACAATGCGGTTGTGGGGATACAACTAATTTTAAACTAATTTAATACATAATTATATGTAAAATTTTAAAATAACAGAAATCGAACTAAAAATGAAAAAAAAGCAAATAATCATACGAGAAGTAAAAATTTAAATATTATAAGTTTCACGACACTACATTTATTGTAATCCTCGCTAGCCCACTCGAGTTACACAGATTGCGCGAGTAAGTGGTATTTTCGCCAGGGTTCTGGCCGCAGGAATGACTAGCAGCGTTGGATGTCTACTCCTCCTCACATAGTTGTCCGGCACACCGAGGCTCAGGCCCCTACGCTTTCTTGTTACACACCTGACTCCTCAAGATTTTAGCTACATACATAGCAAGTGAGAAGTCCTGATGCACCATTAGCTCATTGTTGTTGACAAATTTCGAGAATTGAGTGTGTGTGCGTGTTTGTGTGTTAGGTGTATGTGTGTGTTCCATATGTGTGAGTAAATTCTCCGTCATTTGATTGTCTAGTTTTTGTAGCCTATCCGTTAGTCTGAATTTACTTCGTGACGATTAAGAGCTGAAATGTTTAGTTTTTTGTTGGCTATATTGTTTATTTTGGTTATACAGAATTCACATTTACTAAAGGACGTTTTGCAGCGAGTACTTGGGAAAATGTTTTTCTTGCTCTACCTATTGGGGTGGAGGGCTAGAAGAGTTTGGTGCTTTCTTAAAGCTATTCGATGAATGAGTACTTAGTTGGTGAACTGTTAGGACTTTTATGTCTGAATAGAGACTAACAGTAGGATAATTAGGATACCTGTGAGGTTTTTTTGATAGAACTTTTAGTATAGCTCTCTGTGCACGTTTAAGTCCGATTAAATGAGATTAGGCTGCAATTCCGTATACAGTGATGCAGTATTGAATGATGGACTGACCAAGCGCCAAAATACTCATTTTAGCTTAATTTTATTTTTAATGTCATGTAGTGATTTAAATAAGTGAATGAGAGGTGTTACACAAGTTGTCATCACTTGTATATTTGTCCCACTTGAAAGTGGACATAGGTGTTCGTTCTAGAATTAGTTTAATTAGTTTAGACCTAGATAGCCACCTACACATCTATTTTGTATGTCCCAGGATATTATTAATGGTAATAAATTATAACACTTTGTTTTGTGGTAACTCTTTGGGTGCTGTCTCAACAAGCACTGGGAGAAGTTGTGATGTCGGAATCGAACTGGATAAAATCATACGGTGTTCTGTTATGGGTATCTATGGTCGGGGTCTTAGGTATAGTCGAAGAAGGAAATTCCTTTCTTTCTTTTTATTTGTCAATAAAAGACAGTTGTGCAATCTGAATTGGAAGCCGTCTCTCTTCAGTTTACAAAGTGGAGCGCGGAAGCCACCAACCTCTCCGCGAATACAAGAACAGGGTGAGGTCAGAAACCTTCAAAGGCGCCAACCAACATAGTGCGCCTGTTTCCGAATTGGCTTTGGGTTCGGTAAACCGACGGGGTTTGGCGAGAAGTGTAGGTACTGCCATGACTAGAGGCTGGATGCCTCTATTTGTCATTTCTAATAGGTTAGCCACCATATTGCTAATTTAGTAGTCAATTACTATTCTTACGATTGTTGATAGAAATAGAACAGTAATTCCTACATCGACATTTCTAATTTGGCACACAAAAATCGGGATTTTCGGGACTCACCAGTCAAATTCTATCATGTGAGAAGATTGCAAAATCTGACTTGTTTCGCATATTACTAGACAAAATTAGAAAACTGAAAAACAATTATAAAATGGATGAACCGAAACTATTATTTTCGATTACCTATTGATTAAGCTATTAATGTGTATTATGTTGTTTATCCTTTTGCCGTCACTAAGCATCCTCGTCCTTTTGCAACAATGTCATACTAGTAGTGTGTTAGTAGAATACGAGTAGTACTAATTTCAAACGAACTTCTAAAAAAGGAGGTTTCCAATTCCATGATTTTTGTTTGTATCTTAAACGATATCTTCACCAATCGCGTAATGATGTCAATTATTCTAGTTTGAATTGTACTCAGTTGGTTGGTCCTATATAAATTTGAAGAAAATATTCCACATCTAAAGGGGAAATGTTAAAGGATGTAGAATACAATTATTACAACTTATATATAAAGGCGCATTTAAGTTGGTGGTCCTAATTTTATAATTGAATCAAAATAATTGAATCTAATAATAGTATTACCTATTTTATTATTGAAAATAAATATTATGTCTTTTTCATTATTAAGCGATAGGTGCTCTGTTAGCAGCGCGGACCCTTCCGACTTATTTTATTTATTTTTTCTGTTCGTTAATCCCGGTACCAGTAGCCGGGGAACCAGGCGTACCCTAGGAAGGAAGTTACTGGTACCCTGACGAACCTCGGGCCATCTACGGCTTGTAAATGACCCCCTCGTGTATGGGAACCACGGTGTTCTCATTCTACTCACTAAAGGGGCGAGACGCGCTGCTGACTTTGACTGAAGCTCGGAGTACAGAGTTCAGAATGGTTTGTGGTCTACTACTATTGTTACTGTTATTATCAAAATTGTACCTAGGGACTTGTAGCTATGTAAATTATATTTTAAAGAACATCATCTAGTATACTTGTACAAATTTTTAGGAACTGAAAACACCTAAGCCACAACATAGTTGGCTTCAAAAAAATATTATTTACTCCCAGTTGTATGATCTAGTTAGTCGGCTATGAGCACTATGTTTTCGAGTACAGTTTCATCAGTAATAAACGGTATAAGTCGCAACAAGTGTGAAACGCGTCGGCGTATGGCGTCGTATCCTCGTCGGGATGCCGGACGTTGTCGACGCTGCGGTTTCGCGCCAATTCGCTCCCGCAGTGATGGGAAGAACGTCTCGCGGACGGGACACGCGCGCCTTGTCCGCGGCCGCTCGTGATACGAATGCGAATAACTGTTAATAGTTTTCAACGCAACAGTTAACACCTGGGTATCAGGATATTTACACGTTCGCTGTTGTGCAAAAGAAAAATTATGATTTTATTTAATTTGTCATTAAAGGAAGAGGCAGATATGCCACCTCCAGATGCATTCCCTAAAAGTGTTAAACTACTAAAAGATTTGAAAATAGTGTGGTACTTTTTGATTGGATGCGAATGTTTAAATAATAAACTTTGTTCTCGAGGCAACTATTAAAAATGACGGACATGACAACTGAAGACACGTTGTTTGAAGCATCAACGATGGCTTCAGCGCCTCATCGTACGCCTACACCTGAACTCCACGCGACGTATACAACCTTCGAAATCCTTGTGTCATTGGTAGCCATTGTAGGTAACGCAATGGTGATATATGTGTTTCGTCGAGAACGTAGATTGCGTCGCCGTACGAACTATTATATCGTATCGTTGGCTACAGCGGACTTACTAGTGGGGCTGTTAGGCATACCCTTCGCTATCCTCGCCTCAGTGGGTCTGCCAAGAAACCTGCACGCGTGTTTATTCACAGTGTCGTTGTTGGTAATGCTCTGTACCATAAGCATATTTTGTTTGGTGGGTGTCTCTGTGGACCGTTACTGGGCAATCCTACATCCGATGTGCTATTCAAGAAACGTTGGAACCAAAACCGCTATTGGTGAGTATCTATTTGTTTCTATTATTTCAATAAAGGGCTTTTGAATTTTTTTATAATGAATTTTACGAAGAATGTTGATATTTGTCCTCCCAAAACCATACTGTTCTTGTTCCTGTGTTTGGATATCTAATGCGAGTCCTCATTAAAACAGAACACTTCTAGTTGTCATGTATTTTTATCATTGATCGATGTATCACGACAATGGTTTAAAATAATTATAATATATTATATTATCTCAGTATATTACACCTGTGTCGAAGAGGATTACCATATTGGCTCCTTTATTGCTAACTACTTGACGATAATCTTTCTAATACAATAGCCATCAGCTCCATACTTAAGCATAGTAATAGACACGATACGTTTGAATACAGTACAGATGTCATCATAAAACAAGTTAAGTACACTAGAATTTGGACGTTAATTTAATAATATATAGTTTACAAGCTGACCCGAACTGAACTTCTTCTACTTAATGACAAAAAAATGATACAAAATCTTCTGTTTACAATACGACCATGTAATGAAATAAAATTACAATTGAATAATTCGACCATAACCAGGGCCGAATTAACAATCAGGCAGAGTAGGCAACTGCCTAAGGGCCACCCGCATGCATAAAAGAAATTGACAATGTTTTATACAGTGAAAATTTTAGTTTTTTTTTTTTTTAAATTAGTTATTGAAAACTTTATATCCTCAAAGACAATAGGTATTACTGCCTTTTTTAGGTGCATGCTATCAGTTGATAAAATACTTCATACTTACAGAACCATTTGTATCATCTAATGCGTTGAAAAGAATACGGGTACAATCCTGAAAGAAAAAAGCTACGCACCAAGAATGTGTAGATACAGATATTGATTAGTGGTGCACGACGTATTCACGCAGAAAGTTTGCATACATTTATTTCCATAGTACCTAAATCATGAAGGGGAAGAACTTTAATCTACAATTTTAAATTTTTGCTATCAATATTATACTGCTATAAAAGATGAGAGAGATAATGCGTAAATATGTCTGGTTGTTGCAATAGTCTACAGGCCCATATTAACAAAATAAATAATCTTGCATTCATGTGTAGCGCACTCACTGAATTCGGTTGGAGTACGTGCTGCACTGAGTTACATTGGAGCACTTTCTTTCTTCGGATTTTAACAGGCATTATAGATTTTTTGAGCCTCAACTTATCGCCGGGCAATTATGCAGAAACATCTCGAAAAAAGCATCAAGAACCGATGCGACTAAGACTCTTGCAGAAGTTTACAAGATTTTCCAGAAAGATTTGCAGTCTTTGAGATTATGACTCTGATTATGACTGTTGTGTTATAAAGATCATCATTCTTAATCATCATCATCATCATCATCATCAAGAGCCTTTAGTAGTCCGCTGCTGGACGCCTCTCCTTAGAAAGGAGGTTTCGGCGTACTAAACCATGCTGGCCAGACGGGTTGGTATAAGGTTTGCGTCAAGTTTTCCTTTTTCTACTGCTAGTGGCATTTTTCTAGTGCTTACGACACCCGCAGGATGCATATGGGTGGTGACACATGGAATTCTTAATCCGTCACTACACGGACGACGTAACCACCACCACTACAGGTTATAAATAAAAATCACTAATGATTAATAAGTACTTACATACGTTGTTTTCCATCATCACATTAATAAATTAATAAATTTAAAATATGGGAGAGATTTCGGAGTTGGAGTATAAGCAATGGTATCAATAATTTTTATTTATATTATCCGAGTAAAACTTGTTAAACTGCGGATATAACACAGTCAAATTTTGAATAAAATCCTTATTTCGGCTTTAAGGTAATTTAAAGCTGATGATAATAAATATGTTGATATTTATTCTCATCAGCTTTAAATTAAATTCTTATTAATTACATTTGGCGACTTACCATCTGGGCCTACCACTATTAATTGTTATACCACTTATAACTAATTTCACCAATTCGGTTCTGTCGTTCAGACCTCTCCTTCTCAAAGTATTAGATATCCGTTATTTTGACTGTGATATTTTGATAACTTGGTTAACTAAGCAGTTTAACTAACTAAGATAGAGTCTTTGCAGGATTACTCACATCAATAATTCAAGTTAAAATTAATGGCAACACGGATCTACCTTTTACGAGTTTTTTTTAACCCATGGTACGTGTTTAACTAATTGTCTTTAAGATACATATTTCAACTTTTTCTATTTTTCCTGTGTTTACATTCACATTTTCGATACGAAAACATAACTACACTCGAGAGCAATAATCTGAGTCACATAAATGTATTAACTTGAAAATGTCGAGAAACTAAGAAGGAAAGCTTAATGTATTTTTTTTGTTAAATGGACAATGAGATAATCTCTAAATAAAAGTACTACAATTTGCTTGTGACATTGCATTGTATCATATTTATAACTATCTCTGCGGTTTAGTACACCAAGTTTCTTATAGGATGTTGGGCAATATTCTTTTTTTTGAGCTCTCAATTGATCAGAGAAGGCTTTTCCTATCTTACGCATCCTCCGAGCTTGCACCAAGCATAATGGGTCTGGTTGAGGTCCTAGCTGCGTGCTCACCACTGCATACAGTTACTGTTCGCCTCTTTAAGGTAGTCATTTACAATCCGACCCAGATTCATCTCTCTCGAGTGTAAATTACTATGCATAAACATGAATGCCAGCGATTTGGGATTTATTTATTTTCGCATGTCAGCAACCCATTTCTGCAATGTTGCTAGAGAAACTGACGTGCTTGCTGTCGGGTATTATAAATTTAGAATTACAAAAATAATAGTCTAATCTTCGTATTGTTCCTATGACGGTTTGGCAAAAAAAAACAATAAGCTTTTGTATTGTTGACGAGCTTCGTTCTGTGAATCAGGCTGACTTGATTAGTAATAGTAATATAGTAATATTCTACCACAATCACACAACGCCATCTAGTCCCAAACTAAGCAAAGCTTGTACTATGGGTACTAGACAACTGATATAAATACATATATACTTTTTTTTTGTAAATACATACATATTATACATAGAAACACCCAGACCAAATCAAACATTAAATGTTCATGCACACAAATGCTTGACTTGAGCGGGAATCGAACCCGCGACCTTTGGAATAGCAGTCCGTTACACAAACCACTACGCCATTCGGTAGTGATGCTTGCCTTGCTTTTAAAGTGAAAACTTCTTTAGGCGCGTTGGGCGTTCTTGGACATCGTTACCGACACCTCTGTATGTAAGTATCTACATATACTGGCCCCGTTTACACGAGAGTTGAGTTTGGGTGAAATCCATTGATAATATAACTATATATAATATAAACATATGTTATGTATATACTTACAAAACCTCCTTTCTAAGGAGAGGCCTATGTCCAGCAGTGGACTAGTATAGGCTGTTGATGATGTATATACTTACATTATTGATTCATGAAACTTTTCGAATCGAAAAAAATACACACGTAATTGATCAAGTTTCCACTTCTGTCGGCACTCCCGGAGCCATTGTTTTTTTTTGTATAGGGGGCAAAGTTAAGAGAGAGAGGGGGGGGGGGGGGATTTGTTCTCCGGTAACCTCATGCGACATTATGTGCCGAAGCTTGGTTCTCCCACGTCAAAAAGAAGTGAAATTAATCTATGAAGTTGCTAATAGCTTGGCTTGATTAATAGTGGCTTATTTGCTTTCTTTTTCTAGATGTCATTAGTAAGTAAAGTTACGGAAATAGATGTTTTATTAATAAGATGCTAAGGTTTAATCTTAATTTTATCTATTGTTTAACATATGTGCAAAGTCATTTATATATTTTTGTGGTACATTGTTACCAGCATAATAAAAGTGATGTAAATCAATATGTAAATATTATTATCGCAACTGAACTGTATTACACGTAGAAACCAAAGTGTAGATAAGATACAGGTTACATTAAAATTGGGGAACTAATTTATAACGACTATGAAGCATAGACTGACAATGGTCATCGTGGTTGGTTGAATTCGACGATCATAAATCAAAATCTGTATCCAGGCTTCTGTTTCATAGTAACCATCATCTACCATCTCATCTACTTACCATTTTCCTAAGTTTATTTGGAGTCGGCGCATTGAATTTTGTTCTTCCATTCTCTTCTATCACTCGTCACTTCACTGCTAACTCCCTTTCTAGCCATATCTTCTTTTACGCGAAAAGGAATTACTTTTTAATTGGTAAAGCTCTGAGGTAACAAAAAAAAGATACGGTAATCGAATTGAGAACCTTCTTTTGTAGTCGTACCAATAATAAAAAGGAGTCAAATTGTCATTTGGTGATCACATCACATATCACATCAACAGTCTTTCCACAGCTGAACATAGGCCTCTTCTTAGAAAAGAGGTTTTGACCTACTATACCACGCTGACTAGACTGGTTGGCACAGGGTTTGTGTCCTGTTTTCCTTCTGTTTGCAGTATTGTTGTCCTGCGTAGTTTGCTCCCTTAGTCGGCTCTTACGGCACCTAAGATTTGAAGGGGTGGTGACACTCCGTTTTCTTAGTCCGTCACCACACGAATGATCACTAGTGTGCTAAAGTTATTAGATATTGAAAAAAGTTATTTTATCGTGATTAGCTTCTTAGTACAGATCTAGCATCTGAAATCTGGATCATGTAAGATGAACAATAATGTCATTGTTTTTGTTGTTGTTATATATTAAAAACGCCAAATTCTTACTAACGCAAATAAAGTATATGTATACACTCTTAGAAAAAATGGTGTTATTGTGAGGATCTTGCTTAGGGTTAAGGTTTTTTTAATTTACCTATAGGTACATATTATGATATTCACACAAGAGCAACCACTATCATAGAGAGGTTAAATATTATGAAGGGTTTTTGTTACGGTTTTTGACTTCAGGGATGGCCTAGTGGTTTAAGCGGTCGCCTCGCCGCTTCCTACTGCGCTGAGTGTTGTAGGTTCGATCCCCACATGGAACACCTCTTTGTGTGATCCACAAAAGTGTTGTTCTGAGTCTGGGTGTTTTTTGTGTCTGTTTCATGTATGTTTGTAAAGTCCCCCGCGATACAGGATATATATTCCTAATGCGCCCGTTGTCTTTTAAAAGAAAAAAAACTTGAAACTATTTAAAATGTATTACTAGTTACTATATTACTAGTTTGAACAAAAAAGCAATAGGCAAATACGTACTTTCAGGGCAGTGGAGAAAGCTGTTTAATATTTTAACACAAGTAATAGACAACAGAAGAACGTTTTGTTACATATTAAAGAATAACATATTTATATTTGTACAATTCGATAAATTAGCACGACTTTGGTCTTTTTCTATCAATAAAGGAAAACCATTCTTAATTTTGTATAGATGTGAGTCCACAACAATGCATTACACATCAATCTTAGTGGATTGCTTTTGTTGACAATGTTTAGTTGGGTATTTCATAGTGAGTTTATGACGTCAAACAATTGATTGCGCGTTTTACATGACATAAACACATGCAAGGTTTCTGTTCCTAATATCAATTTAATTAACTTACTGACATAATTGTTTCATCTATGGATTTACAGGCCAATTGTTTTGATTGAAATCTTGCAAAATATTAGTATAGTTTTTTTTTAAATATATTCTAGAAAATAATTCCTTGCCTCGAAGAGCCCGTTAAGTCGTCGATCCCGGTTGCCATACAAACATCTGTTGCAATCGTTACGGGAAGTTGGAGCCATAAAAAGCCGTGCTTATATTGTTATTTTTGTGATTAATGTATTATTATAAATATTTGCCTGATATCTACGCTATATTGATTCCTCATATCTACTACTTTAATACGTGAAGATAATTCTATGAAACAAACGTGGCGCACATGATCATGTCATATTTGGAATATTAACGTTTTTACAGTACAGTATGTGCTATGCATGTCAGTTGAATTATTAACTAAAAAAATGTGTAAAAAGGCATAGGCATAGATCAACATAGGCTACCGGCGGGAGCCGACCAGGGCATAGGAGTCCAATATATATTTCAGCTGTTCAAGTTATACTCAAACAAGACATTCAAAACGACCGTCAGGCGATCTCTAGTTGAATTAATTAGATAATAAAGTAAATATGTTACGGTACAAATAAAATTAATTGACATTTACTTTCCAAGGTCGTTAGAGGTTATGTTTAAT